AAATAGGACTGACAACAAAGGAAAGAAAATCACACCTGACATTATTAGACTTTTCATCTGAAACTCTAAATGGCAAAAGACAAATGCTATTCATCCAGAATTTAAAGATTGTGACCTTAGATTTAGAATTTCAAACTACATTTCATGGATAGCTCAGAATTTAAAAGTTTTTAGACACAAAAATTCTCAAAAAGTACACCACCTATATACTTGTACTTTTGAAAAATATTCAAAGAAGTATTCCAACTTCAGAAAAAGAATTTACAAAAAAACACTCAATAAAAGTAGAAAAAGAGGCCAGGCACAGTGGCTACGCCTGTAATCCCAGCACTTTGGGAGGCCGAGGTGGGCGAATCACCTGAGGTCAGGAGTCCGAGACCAGCCTGACCAACATGGAGAAACCCCGTTTCTACTAAAAGTACAAAAAATAGCTGGGCATGGTGGCGCATGCTTGTAATCCCAGCTACTCAGAAGGCTGAGGCAGGAGAATCTCTTGAACCCGGGAGGTGAAGGCCGCAGTGAGCCGAGATTACGCCATTGCACCTGGGCAACAAGAGCAAAACTCTGTCTCAAAATAAAAAAAAAAAACCATGGAAAAAGAACAAAACAAGCCAGGCATGTGAGCCACCTGTAATCCCAGCACTTTTTGAGGCCAAGGCAGGAGGGATGCTTGAGCCCAAGAATTCGAGACCAGCATGATAACATAGTGAGACCCCCGTTTCTGCAATAATTTAAACAATTAGCCCGGTATGGTGGCACATGCCTTTATTTCCAGTAAAGGAGTAAAGGGGTGGGAGGCTGAGTCAGGATTGCTTGAGCCCAAGAGGTTAAGGCTGCAGTGAGCTGTGACTACACCACTGCACTATGATCTGGGCAACAGCAAAACCCCCTTTCAAAAAAATAAATAAGTAAGCCTGGACAACATAATGAGACCATGTCTCCCTCCTAAAAAAAGATTTTTAAAAAAATTAGCTGGGCATGGTCCAAGCATCTGTGGTCCTAGCTACTCGGGAGGCTGTGCTGGAAGAATCACTTGAGCCTAGGAATTTGAGATTGCAGTGACTTGTGATCACATCGCACTCCAGCCTGAGGCAGAGCGAGACTCTATGTCTCAAAAAAAAAAAAAAAAAAAAAAAAAAAAAAGGCAAAACAAAACTTTGTGCCACATATATTACAAACTCAAAAAGCAGTCATAATATTTTTTACCAAAAGCCAGGCATAGTGAGTCACATTTGTAATCCCAGCTACTCAGCGGCATGGGCTGGAGGAAGACTTGAGCCCAGGAATAATTGAGGCTACACTGAGCTTTGACCACATCACTGTATTCCAGCCTGGGCAACAGAGCAACAGCAAGACACTCTCTCTAAATAAATAAATACAAATTTTAAAAATGCTTAAAACAACTGCTTTGGACACCTGATTTACGATACAGATAAAAAAAATCCTAAATAAAGCATTAGCAAATTGAACCAGCTATATATTAAAATAGTAACATGGTCAGGTATGGTAGTTCACGCTTGTAATCCCAGAGCTTTGGAAGGATTGCTAACCTGAGGCAAGGAGTTTGAGAGCAGCCTGGGTAACACAGTGAGACCCCATCTCTAAATAAAAATTAAAAATAAATAAAAAGGTCAGGCACGATAGCTCACGCCTGTAATCCCAGGGCAAGCGGATTACAAGGTCAGGAGTTCGAGTCCGGCCTGGCCAACATAGTGAAACCATGTCTCTACTAAAAATATAAAAATTAGCTGGGTGTGACGGCACATGCCTGTAGCCCCAGCTACTCAGGAGGGTGAGCCAGGAGAACTGCTTGAACCTGGGAGGCAGACGTTGCAGTTAGCTGAGACCACACCATTGCACTACAGCCTGGGTGACAGTGAGACTCTATCTCAAAAAATAAATAAATAAACAAATAAATAAGACACTACATAATCAAAAAGGTTTATTCTAGAACTAGGAATGGGTTAACATTAGGAAACTCATATTTAATAGTGTAAAAGGGGTAAAGAACAAAAAAATTCCTGTAGTAACTTTTGAAAGACTTCAAAAAAGAAAAAATGGTTAAAAAGTGAAGAAAAGAAGCTGGGCACATGCCTGTAATCCCAGCACTTTGGGAGGCTGAGGTGGGTGGATCACGGTAGGGAGATCGACACCAGCCTAACCAACATGGAGATACCCCATCTCTTTTAAAAATACAAAATTAGCTGGGTGTGGTGGCACGTGCCTGCAATCCCAGCTACTCAGGAGGCTGAGGCAGGAGAATCACTTGAATCTGGGAGGCAGAGGTTGCGGTGAGCCAAGATCACACCACTGCACTCCAGCCTGGGTGACAGACCGAGACTCCATCTCAAAAAAAAAAAGAAAAAAATCTCTACTATACCATATTTTGATTCTGTGGTTTCCTCAATTCCACATCTTATAATCAATAATGAATATTTCTTGATGTTTAATGAATAGGACATTAACTCAATTTTTTCAAAAGGAAAAAAGGCATAAATTACAAACATATATTTAAAAAGATGAGACAGGTCAGGCACAGTGGCTCACGCCTGTAATCCCAGTACTTTGGAAGGCTGAGGCAGGCGGATCACCTGAGGTCAGGAGTTTGGGACAAGCCTGACCAATACGATAAAACTCCATCTCTACTAAAAATACAAAATTAGCCAGGCATGGTGGCACACGGCTGTAATCCCAGCTATTCAGGAGGCTGAGACAGGACCGTCACTTAGACCCAGGAGGCAGAGGTTGCAGTGAGCTGAGATTGAGCCACTGTACTCCAGCATGGGCAACAAGAGTGAAACTCCATCTCAAAATAAAAAAAGAAAAAGGAAAATCAACTAAAACAAATTGAAAATAAAAATATAAAATCTGGCCGGGCATAGTGACTCACACCTGTAATCCAAGCACTTTGGAGGCCAAGGCGGGCGGATTTTATATATATATATATATATATATAAAATCTACAAGAAGCAGTAAATTTCCTTCATGCCAGCAGCAATTATTCAGATGATGGCAGAGTACCATTCACCAAAAAAAAAAAAAAAAATACATGTAGGAAGAAAATGAAGTAGTATGCAAGATCCACATTAAATTAAAAATAAAACCAGAAAACTATGAAACTACTAAGGCACACAAGACCTGAATGATGAATAAATGGAACAGAGAATTAAATAAGTTACTTCTTCCCAAAATAATGCACATATCAAATGTAATTCAAGTCAAAATCCCAATGAGTTTATTACTGGAATTTGATTATGAAATCATCTAGAGTCGTTATTTAAAAAAGGAATGGGAGGCCAAGCGTGGTGGCTCATGCCTGTAATCCAAACACTTTGGTTGGCGGAGGCAGGAAGACTGTTTGAACTCAGGAGTTTGAGACCAGCCTGGGCAACATTAGAAGATGTCATCTCTACAAAAAGTTTTAAAAAGTAGCTAGGTACAGTGGTATGCGCCTGTAGTCCCAGCTACTCAGGTTTCGGCAGTAGAATCTCTTGAGCCCTGGAGTTTGATGTTGCAGTGAGCTATGATCATGCCACTGCACTCCAGCCTGGGTGACAGAGCATAAGACTCTGTTTCAAAACAAAGCAAAATAATCCAGTGCTTTTCTCCAAGGAGATGGAATTACAGGAGGGTTTGAGTTTGGCCATAGTGTTTTCACCTTTTTTACAATGTACATATATCAAAACAAAAAAAAAAAAAACATGGGCCAGGCACAGTGGCTCATGCCTGTAATCCCAGCACTTTGGGAGGCCGAGGCGGGTGGATCACCTTAGGTCAGGAGTTCCAGACCAGCCTGGCCAACAGGGTGAAACTCTCTATACTAATAATACAAAAATTAGCCAGGCGTGGTGGTGCACACGTGTAATCCCAGCTACTCAGGAGGCTGAGGCAGGAGAATCACTTGAGGAGGAAGAGGTTGCAGTAAGCCAAGATTGCACCATTGCATTCCAGTCTGGGGGATAAGAAAGAAGGGCAGGGGAGGGCAGGGCAGGGCAGGGCAGGGGAGGGGAAAGGAAGAAAGAAAAGTAAAGAAAAAAAAAACTATGTTTCCATCCCAAAACTAAAAGTTTGTAAACAACTATGTAAAAGCAAAAATGTCTAGACAATGCCCTTTTAAGTTCTTACTGATCCATGAAAATTACCCCTTAAATGACAATAATGTTCACTCTTTTCATAAGAAAAATGCCTGCTTCCCCACTTACATTAGCTGGTTGCTCTCAACAGGAACGTCTGTGTCTTCACTGAGTTCCAATCTATTACGCCTGTAGGTCGAACCAACACTCAATCCATGAATTAATAACAATGAGGCAGAAAAAATTTTCCTCCTCACATTGCCAAGAAAACCTCTCAGCCACAATTCAAACACAGCATGTGTTTTTAAAACATCTCCCAACTACTGGAAGATTAAGTCCATTCAAATAACCTTTGTCAGACTGGAGACAGCTAAGGTTAGCTATCTCCTCAAAAACAAAAAACAAAAAAAGAGTTCATTTAAAGATGAACTTGCGAGTCAAAGGATTATGAAAAAAGAAAATCCATCTTCCATAGCTGAACAATTAAAAAAAAAAAACCACCAAAATTCAGTAAGATCCAATCTCTGGTCTTCAAGATTTCTTCACCTATTAAGAAAAAAACAGAAACCTTCCCCCATCTTTATTATCTGTATAATAAAAGCATACTTGTATGTAAAAATATAGTGTTTTATGTATATAATATACATACAGATTTATACTAACTGGCTTATACACACACACACACATATATACAAATGTGTAGAAATAAAACATTTGGATAAGTTTCCCCTTTTAAAATACACTATAAAAGACTTTAGATTTGGGTTCATTATAAAAATATAGAACTTACTCTTATACCAAAGTATCATGAAGTTATTGTTACACTAAATTTTTCCCAGCCCACAAAATAAAGATGAAGGTAAATCCTTACACATATTATCAATATGTATAATATGGATGTATGTATATATATCATCATCATCATCATCAGGGAGTGTTTAACCAAAAAAGATAGAAACGTATGGTAATAGAGTAACTACAGAGCGGTGCAGCAAGCTGTAGAAGGCAGAACAACATTATAGCCATTCTAAATTGGCACTGTCAAAACACAGAAAGCTTTATCTAAGGGAAAATTTATTTCTTATTTTATATCAACACCAGTGTCACTGGTTTGCCATTAAATATTCGCCCTGGAGAGGCTTGCTTATATAGCCTAGGTCCAAATTCTTTTCTACTAATGGCTACAGCTAAAGACTTTATAATTATATATGTACTCCAGTTAGTAAAAGGGTAAACTTTTGGAGTTGAGATTTCATTTCACAATGGCATATTTACCATTTAAGAATTAAAAAAAAAAAAAAAAATCAAAAACAAAAACAAAAAAATCCTATTTGATACATAGAAATGAGTTCTAAACTCTGAAACCAGCCCAGTAACAAAGCAATTTTGATTCTTATGTAATAAATACTATATAATTTCTAGGCTAAATCTTGCCAAATACTATCCAAGACAAAACTAAAATCAAAACTTAAAAAAAAGTGGACACCTTTTACTCACACTTAATACTAGTCAATTTTCCACGAATTTTTTGGGCAGGGAATATCCCCAAATCTAAAATGAAAAAAAGGAAAAATTGGGATCTTACATTAGTTATTCAGTCTGAAACTTTTAATAGACTTTTACTAAAAGTCATCATTTTCTGGCCTCCTACTCAATCACAGAAACATACTTTCAGAGTAGAAAGGGATTTTAAAGATAATGAGATCAATTCACTCATCTCACCAATGATTCCTAACACATAAAAATATTGACTGCTAGTTTTCATTGAGAATTCAATGGCCAAAACAACTGCATAGTTAATACAGTATTATGGGTCATTAAGTATGTTTTAAAAAAGATTACCTAAAATTACAGAAACGATCTTTGGGAAATGTCTACTGGATTCTTCCAAGTATGTTCAAAGGGCTTTCATTACAATTCCCATTCAATCCTTCCCAATTCTTGCAAATGTTTTAGTATGTTTTTACCCATAAATTATTTTAAAGTGACTACACAATCTTTGTTATTTTTATATTATTTTATAAAGGTTTAAAACAGGCATTTCAAAGACTAAAAGTATATTTTCCTAATTGTTTTCTAATATTTCCCTTTTATATAAGATCCAATTCTAAATACAAAGGGTAACACTATCACACTCAACAATTTGTAATTATAAAGCTGACCAGTATGAGGAGCAATTAAAAATTTCCAAATATAAAACAATTTCATGGGTTTTCTTTTTGTCAAATTGTAATTAACCATCAGGGTTTTTAAGGAAACAGAAAAACAGGGGCAGGAGGAATGCCAGCTTAGTGTACTTTTGTTCTCATTTCACTGATTTCAGAGCAATAAAATTTCCCATGGTGGGGGAAATTTAACTTAAAACCAATTACTAGTTCAATCTACCAGGCAGAAAGCCTAAGGCCTTTCAATGCTGCACTATATTTTCTTAAACTAAAAAATCTTTTCTCTTTTCATTGGTATAAGCAAAATTTTCAAGTGCTAGCTACATTGAATTATAGCTATAAAATCTTTAAATTTAATCTTCATTTTATCAAAATTATATTGCCTCTGAGGAATTTTCAGCCCTTTTGTGATTTCAGGTTTCCCCAGATGTGTTTGTTTATAAACAGTAATGATTATATTTAACTACTATAGCTATTAAGATACAGTAACACAGCAAAAAATTGCCCATTTTAAATGGAGAAAAAGAAATTAAGATAGTATTTCTTTTTCATTGCTTTGAACAACTTCATTCTCAGGATCCCAGCTCAGAACCAATGTAGAATAATCGTAGTTAACATTTTTCAAGTTCATTTTCAGAAACATCAGCTGTTCTATATTGTCAAAGTCCAGACTCATGATCTGTTTTGGATGAAAGTGGCTATTTTTAGTAAAGATACATTCAGATTGCCAACTACACATGGGGCAACTTAGATACTGGATGGCAACCTGGGTTAAAGCTGGCCATATGCTTATCTTCCTCTGCCAGTAAATTAAAGGGTCATCACCTTCTGAGAGCTCTGAATACTTCTCTTTGAAGTACTCATCCACAACTGCTATAGCAGAAGGGAACATGAAGCTTTTGCTTCCAAGGGCAACATTGTCTACAGCTGAGCTATCAACGGAACCTGAATTGGAGGTGCCTTCTTTTAGAGATGAGGTAAATGAATCAGCTCCTACTGTAACTGAGGGACAAGAAGCTTCTGAAGTTGGAATTTGGCAGATCTCTGGTGAAGATTCCATATAATTACAAACCTCTTCTGCAAGGATCTGCTTATAAGTTTCTAAATCAGCACCTTGAGGAAAAAAGTCTTCCAAACTGTTTTTAAAGCAAGGATCTAACAAAGTAGCCAAGATACAGGGCTTGGACTTAAGCATAGCACTTAGTAGGGTATCCGTTTCAAGTTTCAGAGATAAACTATCCACCAGATTGAGGGCCTGAGTAATACCTCTGACTTGAAAATCTTCTCTGAGTTTCTGCAGGGAAAGGAAAAGATGATGGATTAGGGGTAGCACCTGATTCAATCCTGCCGTCTTCACACTCACTTTCTGGGTAGCCTCCTCAAATGGCTTAAGAATATCACAAACATAAGTCATTAGAGTCCACTGAAGGGAGGTGAGCACAACTCCACTGGCTCTACCAAGACTATGGTGAACTGAGTAGCAATGCTCCAAGAGCCATTTTAACATATAAAAGGTAGAAATCCAATGGCCAGTTTCATCCTGCTTCAAATTCTTCCAGGGAAGTTGGTGATCATTTTGAAACTCTTGCAGTATCTGACGGGCCTTGACCGAATGACTAAAATGATGACAGGTTTTTCTAGCAGCCACTAACATATTCTCAATGCTTTTGTGCTCACAAAAAAAGTCCTGAATGACCACATTTAAACAATGCAGGAAGCATGGCACATGAGTAAAACCACCATCTTTGACTGCATGTACCACATTAGAGGAATTGTCAGAAACAATGAAGCTAGGGATAAGGAAATTTGGAGAAAGCCACAGACCAATCTGGTCATTTAATTCTTGTAAAATATTGGTTATCAAACAGTCTTTAGCCAAACCTGTTACACAAAGCACTGCCCACTTTCTAAAATTGGGGATCCTGCCATTATTGAGAAAAGATGAAGTTTCCAAAGAGACCCAGTGTACAGTCACAATAAAATAGTCAGTGGACGGGTCATGGGTCCATATGTCAACGGTCAGGTGGATCTTTTGGCTTTGAACATTCTCTAAAGTTAAGAAAATTTTTTCTCTGACACAATCATATAACTGAGGTACAGCCTTAGTGAAAAAGTAAGTCTCTGATGGCAACCTGTAATCAGGGGCCACAATCTGCATGAACCTCTGAAAGGCTGGGGTTGAGAAGTAGTTGTAAGGATGCATATCCTCCACAATCATTTGGATAATTGCCTGACTTATTTGACTTGAGACTGGATTTCCACAACATGTTGTTTCTCTCTCCTGCACATGCATCAGAGTGCCTTGCTCTGCAACAGGAATAGGACTTTCAGATCTATTTTCAACCTCTAACAAAGGAGGTTCATCTGAATCAGAGTCACTAAGGTCCTCAGCTGTTAAATCTTGGCTGCCCGTAGACTTTTCTCCATGCAAGGTATCACTCAAGAGATCACTTCTCTCGGTCTCAGCTTCATCTAGTCCATCTGCAACAGCACCATTGTCTTTGTTGGCAACAGCCCAATGGATAGGATGTGTGGCTTGCAGGTGTCGTTGAAGTGTTGAAGTCCCTAAGTGGGACCCTGGCCTACCCCGGCTCACACTTCTTTTACATATATTACACACAGCTCTTGAGATGTGCTGAGGATCAGTATAAAAAAAATTCCAAACTGCAGATGTCTTGGCTCTAGTTCCAGGAATTAAAGCATGCTTGACAATGTTACTTTTGATGAGAAATCTCCCTCTTTCTGCCCTTAGGGCATCAGATGCTGACTTATCACGTTTCTTACTCATTCTACTATCATCTAATGGATCAGTAGGAATATATTCAAAGCTTCCATTGCTTCCAGAAGAGGGAGATAAAGACACATCCAAGGTAAAGTCCTCCTCTCCACTAGTGACTCCAAACTTGTTGGCCCTGGTCCAATGAGGTGAATGCCTTGCTTGCAGATGTCGCTGAAGAGTAGATGTACCAAGATGGCTACCTGGTTTACCCCGGCTGACACTTTTCTCACAGAGGTTACAAATAGCCCGCCAGGTGTACTGGGGGTCAACATGAAAGAAGTGCCACACAATGGAGGTCTTGGCTCTAGTACTAGGTAGATAGATTTGTTTTTCTATATTGCTCTCAAAAAGACTTTCTTCATCCTGCTCAGAGTCATTGGAAGCTAACAAAGCCGGGGCATCTGCAACAGGCCTCCCAGATACCAAATCCTTACTGAACTTTTTGGCAAGAATCAGTTTTTTCCGACGTCTTTTCCCCTTAATTCGCAAACCCTTCTTTCTTTTCTTTTTAGCAGGCTGTTTTGCCTCTTTATTCACTCCTTCTGCTACCATCTTTTCCTCTACCACATTTTCATCTGTATTAGAATTAATAGGAACACATCCCAGAATCCCAGAACCACTAAAAGTGCTGCATCTTCTGCCAGGAGAGAGTGAGGAAACTGGTACACTTAAAGTACATACACTCATTCTCTTTATGTCTCCACAATTCGTACCAGAATCTGTTAGTGGATTTATTACTCAAGCAGAAACACAGCTGTTCTTCTCTACTTGCATTACCTTTTCTCCAATTTCTACGGGGAATCAGATTCCCATTGGACCAATAACTTCCAAGCCAGGTTATTTTTGGAGGAAAAGTGACAGCAATGGAGAACATTCCCAAACTCTTTCTTAGAGGGCTTTAAAGTCCCTTCCAATTTTCTAAGTTCTGAATTAAAATAGTCCAGTGTCCTCATGTTACAGAAGTGAACTGAGTCCCCTTTTCCCAGAGTCACAGAGTTGGTTAGTAGCAGCTAGAAGCCAGGTCTTCCAAATCTCAGATCCATGTTCTTTCTGCTTCATCAAAGACTGTATCTGCTTGAAAT